AGAGAATTAAGTCTCCTTATTGTCTAAAAACAAAACAAAATGAAAACAAAAACAAAAAATAAATTAGTACTTGTTTAATTTGTCCATTATTTCAGGCATTTATAAATCTACTTTAGAAAGAAACTAACCTTCTGATAGATGTAATGAAAGTCAGTGGATAACTACTAGTTATTTCTTTGTCACTTAAAAGGATTTTATTTTTTTTTCTACCTTCGCATTTCGTCTTCTAGTAACAGTATGAAGCTTACAATCCATGTCAAAATTGGTTAACACCCGTAGGAGCAGTAACACTGGGAAGACTTATTTGTCACTTTATACTTAATAGTGTGTGCCATTCTGTGAACTAATCATTAAGAATCTGTCAAAAGTTAGAAAGAATAATTTTTTGTGAATGTGAGAGCTATTCTAAATAGATTGTTGAAGAATAGTGCCAGCTATGAACATAAAGAAAAGTATAATTATTCATATTTGCAGGTAGCTTACAGATTAAAAAGTTTTTTTTTTTTTTACATACATTTTATTATTTTATACCACACCACTTTAGGAAGACTTTATTATCCTTATTTGATGGTTAAAGAACATGAATTTCAGGGCAATAGTGTCTTGTACCAAAAACACATGGCTAGTTTGTACACAATGCCATGAATTTTGAGAGGAAGTTTCAGAAATTATATTGAAGAAATTTCTCCCAAAAATTCAATGGGAAGCAAGCAGAATTTGGAGATTTTCACTTTAGCTATTTTACCAAAATATATAATTCCTCAAATTCCATCTTTCAAATCTTTGGGCCAGATTTTTAGATTTAAATAGAATTGAATTTTTAGATTTAAAAAATAATATTGGCCATAACATGTATATTATGCAATATCACATGAAAGGTTACTTACCTTCCTGTCAAAACACCTACAAGTTTACTGCATTTAAAACATGAGTATTTCCTCATTTCCAATTATCTAAGCAAAAGGTTCCAACTAGGATCTTTTTCTTGTATTTCAACTTCTTCATTAATGGCTCAAACTTAAAAAACATGCTCATTTCTTCTCTGATCTTCAAAACAAACAGTTTCTCTTCCTTTCCCATCAGTTAGCTTCATATTCTCACCTCTCCTTCACAATGAAACTTCTTAAAAAGTATCTACTATGCTAGACAGATAGTTGTCTCTCAGTACAGAAATTCTTCTCGTCGTCTTTAACGTTAGATTTGGGCCACCAAAAATAAGACATATTCCTTGCCAATGGGACATAGCAGAAATGGTGAATGCAGTTACTTGACAGTATGTTTTAACTGAAGAGATCTTTCCTTCTCTGGTATCTCCCTCCTTCCTACTTGATGCAATGTGGACAAAATAATTGGAATTCCCACATCTATCTTGTACTGTGACATGACTTTAGCAATAGAAGCAATAAATGGTAAAGCAATGAGATAGAACATTAAATTTCCAATACCTTGGGGTTTCTAATATATTTAAATCCACTATATTCAAATCCTTATCTCATATCATTCTTCAAGCTACTCAAATTTGGCTTGCACACATACCATTTAACTGATACTACTTTCACCAAGGTCCATCCATAATCTATCACTACACTCAATAACACTCTCTGATGTTATCAATCATTATCTCAGTCCAATACTTTCCAACATTTTTTTCACATCATAGTACACATAAGAAATGATATTTGTACTCACAGTGGGGTAACAGACAAAACTGCTTATGGCTGGAAGTAACCAGCCTGAGGAGTGCCTCTGACCACCCCAGGCCCCACATGGCCTTCTGAAAGCATAAAGGATCAATGTCATGATAAAACATGTAACCAATTAATAGCATACTATCATATTTTGGGCATTTCAGTTCTAGACATTTCAGTCTCTTGTTTTTAAAAAAGATTTCTTCCCTTAACATTCTTGAAATGTTTTCCAAAGTACTCTTATAGTCCTCACCAGGGGTTATTTCAACTACTCCTATGATTTTAATTAAAATCCACATGCTTTATCAGCATGTAGAGTCTCAAGTCTATATAACATCTCATTTCTTTTTCTTGAGAACCAGACAGCAGATATTCATCTTCTTTCACAACATCACCTACTTAGGACTGAGTTAAATTTATTATATTTACCCCAACATATTTGTCTTCTTTTTCTAAGCTCAGAGAACATCACCACCATATGCTTAATTCCTCAAACAAAACCCCTCAAAAATCATCTTTTAACTCTTCCCTTTCCCTCTCCTTGATGTCTCATATCCAAGAGGTCAAAAGTAATCTATTCATTCTTTTGGAGCACGTCATCCCTAACTCAGAAAAAAGCAGATTATGACTTATGGTTAAATCAATCATCATGCATTTTTAAAAATGTATGTAAAAACATTTTTCAACTATAAAATATTGATGATATGTACAAAGAACATGTGGTATAGTGGGAACATAAAGAGACACAGAATCAAAAGTATTAAGTTAGAGTACTGACTTGACTGTCTAGTAGGCTAGGAAATTATTTATATTTGAGACCCTATTTTCTCACCTGTAAGCACTCCATTTGTTCACGCATTCAAAGTGCAGTTACTGGGTTCCTATGTGTCAGGAAATGTGTAATATGTTGGGGATACAAAGATGAAAAGATGAGTAAGACATTCCCTTTCTCTCAAGGAAGGAAAGCAAACATGCAAAATAAATTGTTTGAAAGCATGCATCCTCAGTGGAGGCAAAATTGCCCTGAGGGTGCAAAATTTGGTTTGGTTTGGTTTGGTTTGGTTGAGGTAGGCCAAGAAAAAAAAAAAAAAAAAAACTACTCTTTTTATGTGTAAAGCACAGATGTACATACAGTAGTACTTAAATCAGTATATGGAAGATTGGTGGTATCAACTGAATGCCAGTTCTGGGCTTAGCACATTATTCTTCATTATCCCACTTGTCCCTCACAAGAGACTTGTAAGACAGACATTATTATTCCATTTCACAGTGATAAAAAGAGGCTTAGAGAGGTTAAATAATTCAGTGAGTCTACTGGCTGATATTAGAAAATAAGTTCCACAAAGGCAGAGGTCCTATGTGAATAGACCATTATTCTATTCCCAGTGTGGGCCAATAATATCTGTTGCATGGATGAATTACTGTGAGTTAGGAACACTTGGAGAAGTCCAGAAGTTCACGATGTGTTAGATCCCAATCCTGTTTTCATAATTTTTACGTTATTAAAGGTGGCTAGTGCATGGCCTTAGAATGGATTGATGGACCTAGGGATGAATAGATGATTAGAATGGGACAGTGAGAGGAAGAAAGATGAAAAGAGAGAGAGAAAAAGAAGGTGGACAATATCCATTCTTCCTTTCTGTAAGAGTTAGTGTGAGAATTAAATTAACAAATTTATAAATTAAAAAAAAGAAAAACGCACAACACAGAGAATAACTAAATGCAAGGTACCTGATAGAAGTTTCATTAGCAAAAACATAATATGTTCCCTGATGGTTCTCCCATGTATCCAGTTCATGCATTTTTGTGTCTCTCAGAGTCAAACTGTTATCTGTCACACTGCTTACAGGACCAGCCTTGAGTTACAATGTTCATGAAACACAGCTGGAACTTGGATGAAAAATCATTTACTAGAACTTTCCGAAAAAAGAAAGAGTAGCTGAATAATAACTAACAAAAGTACACATAAAGGACTATAGTGCTATAAGAAATACAATCATACTGTCATCACATTAGCAAAGAGCTATTAATATAGTTTTTAAAAGGAAGATCTATTTTTCTTTGAATTTACTCTTCATGTAAGACCGTGTGTGATTATATTAAAATTACTGGTAATAGATGAGTCTGTATCACATTTAAGTAAGTGATAAATAATTATTTCAACTACATATGGAATCCTGACTCCAACACATTTCAACTGTATGTCCTTGAACAAGGTCTTTAAGCTCTAAGCTTCAAATTCTTAGGGTAAAGTGGGACACCTATCCACTCAGGATTATGAAGAGTAATGAGAAAAATACACATGAAGAACCTAGCATAGTTCTTGAAGGTTAACTTCTTTTAAACTCTCTAATTCAATAATTAAAATTTCTCCCTATATACATTGTTTCAAGTTGAGACTTTAATAATAAAGATGAGATGGGACAAATATAGAATGCATTCCATTTTATCCTTAACCTGCAAGATATTTATATTTTCTTAGCTTCTGGTTTACTCAAGTTATATATATAAAACAAAACCTACTTTGTTTATCATTTGGCTTTACTCTAAATTGACTAAATTTCTTTTTTAAATAGAATTCATAGAGTAGTAATCAATATATTTTAAAATTATCCTTGCATTATTTATTTAAGCTATGCTTTTTGGTCTCTATGGCGAACATAGATCAACACAGGAACTTAATAATTATTGATGCAGATCTATATTATATGAAATCAAGTACTATTTGAGCTTCAAATTAAAGCTTTTGAAGACTTTTGTTTCTGGACCACAAGGAACTAAACAAATTTTATGGAAACATTTTGGTTCATTTGTGTGTGGTACATTTAGTTACTTGCCAATGCCTCAAATTCATATTATACCAGTTCCTAGAAAAAGATGTGGTTTGGGTGTGTGTGGGAGTGTGTGTGTGTGTGTGTGTGTGTGTGTGTGTGTGAGAGAGAGAGAGAGAGAGCTCGCGCATGACAGAATGGGATCTAAATATCAGACAAGCTATTAAGAAGCTAATTAGCAGGTTATTGACTAAGTTTCCTTCTCTCTAAAATGGAAGAGTTTTGGAGAAAATTAAAATTAAGATAATTCACATAATAAGTTTAGCAGAGTGCCTAGAGAACTGACAAATACTTAACACTTTTAGCATTTACTTTCACTGTCATCACTATAATTTTCTGTATTAGATATGTGTCAGTAGTTCCTTCAAACTGGCCTGTGAAACAAAAATGTGATTCTTAACTTACTAAATTGGAACCAACTATGCAAAGACTATGGCAAGAATCACAAGTCCATAGCATACAATACTTTTAAAGAGCATACCATATCCCACTGTAGAAAGACCCAAGTGTTTCATTCTATTTTTCACAAGTTCAGCAAGCTCTTGTCTTTCTGACCTCCTGTAGAGGTTCAGTCGCTGCTGGGTTATTTTCTCAGCTGTTTTACCAGAGTGTTTTGGACCTTTTCTGCTCAGTCTTCGGGCCCACTGCATGCTCTTTCTCCGTAGTAAGGGATGGTCTGACTGGTCACTGGAGGTTGAGTTGCGGTGGTTGCTTCGGTGATGACTTTGATCTTTGGAGTCTTTGGTGTCTTCCCACTCTTCTACGCTGATGGATATCTGAGACTTTAAAGGAAATGGATATTGATAATTAGATATTTTAGGAACAGTTGAAAACTGGAGATAGGCTAATAATTTTGCCAATAACTTGGTATCATTATATACCTCGTGAGAGTTTTCACAGAAAAAAAAATTATAATCATTGATTCACTTTGCTGTTACTAAAAATATTATTTGAAAATACACTGAACTTATATATGAAGCGGATAAAATAGCTTTGCATCTCCATATACGGTTTTATGAAAAGATTTAACTTCTCATGCATCCTGCTATAAAATGACTAGCTTGCAGAGTTGTTTGGACCATAAATAAACAAAAAAAAAAAATTTAAATTCAAATAAAGTCAATGTAATGGACTTTTCTAAATCTACAAATGTATTTTATATGAAATGTAAATAAAGATTATGAAAATTGTTTTACTTTTGGAATTAATAATATTTTAAAAGGGTTTTAAATTATTGCTCTTTCTAAAGATGGCATTGGGATGAAACTTTGTTAAATGTGATTTTTTTTTTAAATTCACTATTCTCAGCCAGAAGAAAATAAAAAGCTCTTATTATTTAATTCATACATTAGTTATTCACCATATAAACCTTTTTTTGATTAAAACATTAAAATGTATTTCAGGAACCATTCTCAGTATCCTAAGTGAAAAATGTAAATATTAAATTTCACAAATGCATTCGAGAATCACACAAAAACACTTAAATCAGACTATTCTCCAGAGGAAGGAAAAACAATGAACAAATTCAGAAAGTCTATTTTAATTTACTTCTATACTATTAAATCTGATTTTAAAGTAAGAAGCTTTCCTTTGATTGTAGGCCCTTAAAAAATAAGACCTTCCTGTTTCAAACTGTTGCTTTTCATACCAGAAAGTTAAATGAAATGCAACATAGTTCAAAGCAGGAAGTCTTACTTAACTAAAACCATGCAAATGCAAATGGACAGTTTCCTGAATTATACTGTGCATAACACCAACATTCATGAATCTGCCAACTCTGTTTCCCTTCTGTTTGAAATTCAGCTCTAATATGCATGTTTGTTGGCTTGTAAAGTAATAGAGTTTAAATTACCAATTTAACTAAGGTCAAGAGGTAGATCCAATAAAATCCTTTAAAAGTGAATATAAATTATGGAGTCTCAGTCAATGATTTGCGTACAATTCCTACTGACAAGCTATGAAACTATCTCACACTTAAATTCAATGAAAAATTTAAATATTCTTCCCTACTTCTGTTTAAAAACAGTAAGCAATATTAAAAACAGTTTAACTTTCAAGTCTCCACAATAAGAGAGCATTTTATTAAGTATTTTCAGAAAACTTATTTGAGATATAGAATTTAAACTGCAAGTATTAAAATGTAGACAGCTGCATGGTTTTACAATAATGGGTACCTTTATAAGTCTTAACTTCCTCTAGTCTCACCTACCTGATAATATACTGAAAACCCTCTTCTGTGAAAGTAAAATATATAAACCCTTGGGAATATCTACCATCAGTAAAGAATATCAATCTTTGTTCAGTAGTTTCAGTTTTTATGTACTCTGTAGCAAAAATGAAAACATTCATATTTAGACATTTGTCTTGCAGAGTTTAGTTAATCACAATTTTACATTTATTTGAAGTGATCTTTCTAGTCATTGGTTTCTGTGAGTAATAGTTTGATTTCCTACAAATATGTGGAAATAGTAGTCTTGCCAGTCCCATAATTCAAGTAGAGGATGAAACACTATTTGTCTTTGTGAATGCTTTTTCTTAGTTATGTATATCAGGAATTGTATCAAGTAAGCATCTAAAAGATGAAATGAAGCCTATATGTGTATTAGTTAAGCATTACTGAATACCCTATTCATCATTGTTTTGAACTTCCTTTAGAAAAGAATAACATGATTTATACATATAATCTATAGGATTCAAGAGGTCTTTTTGTCAATTACTCAATAAAATAAGTATCATTTCTTTGTATATTTCACTGTAAGTACAGAAAAAAGTAATTAGAAGGATTTTAGGGTTAATTTTAAGAAATGAACTGACAACACATAGATTGTTCTCTATGTGTTTGGAATTTGTAGGTCTTTCTCTCATCCTTCCATATGACATAATGAAAAGGACACTGAATTTTATGTATAGGATTACAAATTTGAATGATATTTTGAATACTTCCTAGCTTTGTTCCTACAACAAAACTGCTTAATCACTATGTAAAATGAGAATAATAATAATACCCATCTTCTACCTCAAGAAATGCCCTACAAATTCCTATAGTACATTAATATATAAAGAAAAATGCGCCAACTATAAATTTCCACATATAACAATGTTAATATTTCAAGTTAAAATGATTATTGACAATATCAATTTCAATGGAAATAAACATTCGTTATTCTATTCCTGGGAAATAAACATTCGTTATTCTGTTCCTGGGTACGGAATATTGTGTATGCCTGTGTGTTTTTTAAAAAAGGTCCATTTATAAGTATACTTTCTTGCTGTCATTTCATCATCTGATTTGACTCTATTGTGTTTTGAACATGTCACACTATGATCTAGTGGAAATAGTTTGCTGGGAGACACAGAAGTGCCTTAATCATTGGACCTTTTCCAGAATTAGAGTCAGAGTGATACAATGTTTAAAAGCAAGTGTGGTAGCCATAAGAGAGACCTGGGTTTAAATACAGTGTCTCACCACTTAATCAGCTCAGTGCTTGAGGTTACATAAACTAAGTTTATCCCCATTTCCCTATCTGAAAAATAGTAATTATATTTTTACTTTGCCCACAGTGTTTTTTCAGAAGATCTAAGAGATAATACTTGAAAAGAGCAATATTAATATAGTGCCTGTCTCAGCAAATGCTTACTAAATGTTAGTTAATATTATGGCTCATGATCTGGCATGAAGAGACAGTAAAAGAGAGAAAAGAAGAAATAATTATGAGGGATTATATAAAAGTGAGAAATGGGTATGAAAAAGACAGGGAATGACTCATATTTGTGATGCAGTTTTCTCTATCAGTGACCATATTTCACAAGAAATCAAGGTGCTAGAACAAAACCTTGGGGGTAAAGATTCCTTGGTTAAAGTTTCATGAATTTGAAGATGAGAACAATATATAACTGAAAGTGGAGATTTATTGCCCTATCCTGCTTCTATAAATTATTCTTCACCATTTCTATGAATAATGAGAGGAATCTGATTTGATGTTTCTGTACTTTAATTACCAGAAGACTGATATAATTATTAATGTGAAAAATCAAGACTTAATACTAATGCTTATGAGAATGAAAAAAAAAAGATATTTTCATATTGTTATGGTCTGATCTGAATGTTATATTCAAAATATGTTAAAATCTTAAAATTTGTTAAAATCTTAACCCCTAAAGGTGATGGTTTTAGTAGGCCATAGGTGTGGAGTCCTCATGAATGGGGTAAATGACCTTAGAAAAAAGACCCCAGAGAGATCCCTAGCGCCTTCTGCCCTGTGGTTAAACAAATGAGAAATCTGCAGTCAGAAGGGGGTCCTCACCTGACCATGTTGCCACCCTGATCTCCCACTTCCAGTCTCTAGAACTGTGAACAATCAATGTCTGTTGTTTATAAGCTACCCAGCCTATGGTGATTTGTTATAGCAATTTGAATGGATGAAGACATATTTTATATGAAATGCTTTCAGGAGCATATTCATACAGTTCAATGAGGAAATAAAAAAAAATCTAATCAATAATTTTCATATAATTTTAAGGCATTATTATTTTTAAAGTTATATTATTCTCCAAATATTTATCAAACAATATGGTTTTTTAAAAAGGCTAAAAATATTTCTTCAAAAGAATAAGAATTGGCAGCTTTATAAATGAGAAAATGTTTCCTATGCCTAAAATTACTTTTAATTACTTTCATTGTTTTCAGAAAGTCAAGAAGTGTCAGGATCACAATAAATATCATTCTTTTCCACACTCTACACACACACACACACACACACACACACACACTCCAAAATGACCTAATTCAACTTCCTCTCAACTTTTTTATTGAAGTTATTCATGTCATAAGGTTATTGAGCAGTGTGTGGAATAAAGTGGTATTTTAAAATAAATCAATTCACTCAGTAGTTTGAAAGTGAGTGTTTGTAATCTGGATTCATGGCTCCCTTAAGAATAGATTTATAGGCTTTAAAACAGCCTTAAACTGTGCTATTTGATTTATGACTTAAGAAATTCTGAATTGTTGCTAAAGAAAACAGAGGAAAATGAAACCACAAAAGATATGCAAGTTTAATATTTATTTATTTACTTATTTATTATTTCAAGTTTTATATATATTTAATTCTAGTTGGTTAATATATATGGTAAAATTGGTTTCAGGTGTAGAATCTAGTGATTCATCACTTATATATAGTACACAGTGCTCATCACAACTAGTGCCCTGCTCAATACAATACCCATCACCCATTTAGCCCATCCCCCACCAACCTCCCCTCCAACAACCCTCAGTTTGTTCCCTATAGTTAAGAGTCCTTTATGGTTTGCCTTTCTCTCTCTCTTTTCCCCCTTAACTTAACATTTTATAAAAGAACTCCTATCTAATGTTTTCCATTAAAGGAAAGTTAAATTATAAGAATACTTGAGACATCATCTAAATTTAAATCCATATGCACTTTGGCTAGTGACTTTGTGTCCCATGGAAGTTTTTTTGAATTAAAAAAAAAAATTCATACTAAGATGTTTCTGTACTTTCTATAAAGGCTCAGTTTATAAGTTTACTTAGTCTGTGATCTAAGTAGATATAGAAAATAACTAATTACATTGTATTTAGATGTACTGTTTTATTTACTTACTTATTTATTTATTTATTTTGAGAGAGAGAGCACAGGACTGGGACAGGGCTAGAGGGAGAGGGAGAGAGGCAATCACAAGCGGACTCTCCATCCAGGATAGAGCCACATGTAAGGCTGGATAACAGGACCCTAAGATCATGACCTGAGCAGAAATCAAGAGTCCAACA